AGAAACTTGCCCTAAGTGCTGGCCAGCATTTGTTTAGTGTTTAACAGTGAGCAGAGTGACTTGACTCTTCCAGGTTTTCACACTTCTCTCACTTATTTGCACATCCACAAACCACTTCCAGTATGGCTTTGCACACGCACTTTAACACTATATGTATCCTTCAACAACAGGCATTTGTACTCAATTTTTATTGTTTTCTTCCAGATGTTAATCCATGTGGCTCACTTTAATGGCCGGGTGGTATTCCATTACAGGAGTACCCAACAGTTATCGGATCTCTGTGGAGGGCAGGGCCATTGATGGTTTTCTTGTTAGGCCATTGGAACTAGTGCTACAGTGAACGGCCTCGTTCTTGTTTCATTGTGTACAAGGGCAGCTGTGTCTAGAGTCTATGCCAAGTAGAATTTATTCCATATTTATTATCCCCTTCGGTCCTCACAACCTGAGTTATACATACATGACCACTATCCTCATTTTACAGATGAGAAATCTGAGGCTCTAGTACTTTCCCAAGGCCCCTTTGCTGGTGCCAGCAGAACTGGTTTGTAGTAACTCCGATCCTGAGGCCTTTGCCCCTCCGAGCCACCTTGCTGCCCATCTCCCAGTTCCCTGAGCCCAGCGGGGGACTGTGGTGGATCTTCTGGGCATGGCACCGCTTCCTGGGCCAGGTCCTCCCAGTCCCACTTTCCCTGTTTGGAAAAAAACGTGATTTGGTCGAGGTTTGTCTGCTGGCTTCTCCCAAACCTTGTCAGACCTCCTTTCCTCCCCTCCCGCCTCCTCCCCGCCTCTCCCTCTTTTTTAATGCACATCCTACTGTGTCACCATGTAAAATGTGTTTGAGTTGGGGCCAAAGTTTCAAAGCTTCCACTCTCCCACCCTTTTTTTCACTGAGATCACTGGGGCCCCTTTCCACCCTCCTTTTTTTTCTCTCTTTAAAAAAAAATTTTTTAAAAAATAATTCTTTATTGTTGAAAGTATTACATATGTCCCCCCTCTTCCCCCATTGAGCCCCTCCAGCCCACCCTGCCCCCTGCCCCAGGCCCTCACTGCCCCATTGTCTGTGTCCATGGGCCATGCACATACGCATACAAGGTCCTTGGTTGATTACCCCTCGCACACCTTCCCTCTGAGATTCCACACTCCGTTCCATGCTTCCATGTCTCTGGATCCACTCCGTTCATCAGTTTATTTTGTTACTTAGATTCCACATATGAGTGAGATCATGTGACACTTGTCTTTCTCTGACTGACTTATTTCACTTAGCATGATACTCTCCTGGTCCCTCCATACTGTCTCAAAGGGTAAGAGATTCTTCTTTAAAAAAAATTTTTTTTATTGTTGAAAGTATTACAGATGTCTCCCTCCCCCCCACCATTGACCCTCTTCCCTGCCTCTCCTCCCAGACCTTCACCACACGATTGTCTGTGTCCATGGGTTATGCATATATGGTTAATCTCTCCCCACCCCCTACCCCCCACCCCACCTTCCCTCTGAGATTTATCAGTCTGTTCCATGCTTCTATGTCTCTGGATCTATTTTGTTCATCTGTTTACTTTGTTCATTAGATTCCACATATAAGTGAGCTCATATGATACTTGTCTTTCTCTGACTGGCTTATTTCACTTAGCATAATACTCTTCAGGTCCCTCCATGCTATCTCAAAGGATAAGAGATCCTTCTTTTTTACGGCTGCATAGTATTCCATTGTGTAAAAGTATCACAGCTTTTTTATCCACTCATCTACTGATGGGCACTTGGGCTTTTTCCAGATCTTAGCTATTGTAAATTGTGCTGCTATGAACATAAGGGCACATATATTCTTTCTGATTGGTATTTTGGGTTTCTTAGGATATATTCCTAGAAGTGGGATCACTGGGTCAAATGGCAGTTCATATTTAATTTTTGAAGAAACTTCATACAGTCTGCATTCCCACCAGCAGTGTACTAGGGTTCCCTTTTCTCCATATCTTCACCAGTACTTGTAATTTGTTGATTTGTTGATGGCAGCCATTTTGACAGGTGTGAAGTGATACCTCATTGTCATTTTAATTTTCATCTCTCTGATGATCAGTGACTTTGAGCATTTTTTCATATATCTCTTGGCCATCTGTATGTCCACTTTGGAGAAATGTCTATTTAGGTCCTTTGGCCATTTTTTAATTGGATTGTTTGTCCTCCTTTGTTAATTTGTATAAATTTCTTATATACTTTGGCTATTAACCCTTTATCAGATGTATCATTAGCAAATATGTTCTCCCATACAGCAGGCTCCCTTTTCATTTTGTTGATGGTTTCTTTTGCTGTGCAGAAGCTTTTCATTTTGATGTAGTCCCATTTTATTTTCTCCTGTGTTTCCCTTGCCCTAGGAGACATATCAGCAAACATATTGGTATGAGAGATGTCTGAGATTTTGTAGCCTATGGTTTCTTATAGGATTTTAAGGGTTTCACTACTTACATTTAAGTATCTTATCCATTTTTAGTTTATTCTTGATTGCATTAAATCTATAGACTGCTTTGGGTAGTATTCTATTTATTTTTCTTTTAAATTATTTTTTTAAATATAGATTTTTATTGAGAGAGAGAGGAAATGAGAGAGAGAGGGAGAGATAGAAACATCTCTGGGGATCAAACCCACAACCCAGGCATGTGCGCTGACTGGGAATTGAACCGTGACCTCTGGTTTATAGGTTGATGCTCAACCACTGAGCCATGCCAGCCGGGCAGGCCATTTTACTGATGTTAATTCTACCAACCCATGAACATGGAATATTCTTTTGCTTGTTTGTATCTTTTTCTATCTTTTTTCATCATCCTGTAGTTTTCTGAGTACAGGTCTTTTACCTCCTTGGTTAAGTTGATTCCTAAGAATCTTTTTTTTTTTTTTTTAGTTTCCCTTTCTGAGAGATTATTATTGGTGTATAAAAATGCCATTGAATTATGGGTGTTAATTTTGTATCATGCTGTTGAGCATCCTTATAGTCATTATTCTGAACTCTCTGATGAATTACTTATTTCCACTTCATTTAGCTCTTTTCTGGATAATTCTCTTGTTCTTTCATTTGGGGCATTTTTTTGTCTCCCCATTTTGGCTGCCTGTTTGGGTTTGTTTCTATGTATTAGGCACATCTGCTATGATTCCCAGTCTCTTCGGAAGGTCTCTGTTCAGTACAATTTCAGATGCTGTTTGTGACTAGCCCTGAGAACCCTGTTTGTAGGTATAAGCAACCCACCACTGTGACTCCCTCTGCCAGGGCTGGATGAGTTTGGAAAAGACCAAGATGTGCACCAAGCTTGGCTTTCACTAGCCCTGGATCCAGAAGTAGATCAGGCAAAAACTCAAAGCACCCAGAGATCCACCTCTGCTGGCAGGCTGATTGTTATTCTGTCTCTTAATTAGCCTCAGGCTGTGGACCACAGCAAAATGTAAACTCAGCAGGTTTTCCCAACAGGGTGGAGCAATTGCTTCCTCCCCCAGGCAAAAGCTGCCTGGATGGTTAAGGTCTGCCTGAGAAAGGTGTCCTCTGCAGTATGAGGGAATGACTCAGCACAGGAATCCAGGTGGCTGCCCTCTGAGCCCTGAACCCTGGATTCTCCTCACACAGCTCTAGTTCACTCTGCCCTCCCTCTGCTGAAGCCTACGGTGAGTGGCTACACAGGAAATTTCGTGCGTTGGCCTTTTAAGAGGGCGCCTGCATTTCCAGCTGCCTCTCCCTGGCAGACAGCAACCCTGCTGCTTTTCGCAGCCAGATGTTACATGGGCACCTTTCTTGGTTTTGATCCTCTGGGCTGGGGAGCCCAGCTTGGGGGTTAGCCTCAGGAGTTCTCAGTGGGAACCCCTCACAGGTGAGATATCCCTCTGGAACTTCAGCTTCTGTCTATGGGAGCCCAGCCAGCCCTTTTGTGCCTCCACACTTCCTGCCAGTCTCTATGCGGTCTCCACTTTCCATCCTTGGTTATCAGGGTTCTCTCAAGCTAGTCTTCAGTTGATTATTCAGGATGGTTTTTCTATAGTTTAGTTGTATACCCAGCTTGGCCCTGGGAAAGTGTCAGTGCAGCTTCTACTTAATCCGCCACCATCTTGGAATCCTCTCCTTCTCTTTCTTGACCTCTCCCTGGCTTGCTCATCCTGGGGTCAGGTTGGAAGCACCGGTCATCTAATTCTTATCAACCACTGACTTAAACCCGATTGAAAATGTCACTTGGTCAATGAAGTTTTGACTGTATAAGCCTTCAAAGCAAGGCAGAATCTCACACTGAGGCCTGGTACATGGTGGAGGTAGGGGAAGTACTTGCAGGCATGGTCCTGACTGAGGCTCTGCTATGTCAGAGGCTGGCACTCTGCCCAGCCGCAGGGATACTGAGCAATGGGGTGGAGCTCCAAAGGGTTTCCACAGGTGTGGTTTCCCCCTTGGATGACCTCTGGGGGCAGGCTTTCTCCCTCCCTATTGCATCGGTCCCTCTGCTCTGCTGTTTCCGTGCAGGTTGGACACTGACGTTGGCAACTTCCTGAAGGTGTGGAAGGCTCTTCCTCCCAGCTCAGCCAGGATCTCTGAGCAGAGTGATACCGCCAATTCAGGGCCCCTGGAGAGTCCTCAGAAAGTGGAAGAAGTTAGGGAGGAGAAGGAAGAGAGGCAGGACGAAGAGCCAGAGCTGAGGGAGAGACAGGATGAGGAGCAGAGGGAGGGGCAGGACACACAGAGGCCAGCCGAGGAAGAAGACCAGGACTCCTCGCTGGCATCGCTGGCATCGGTGTTCAAGTCGGAGTGCCCCACCCTTTCAGAGGAAATCCTCCGGTGCCTCAGCCTCCACGATCCCCTCGATGAAGCCCTTGACATCGATCTCCTTCCAGTGGTGGCTTCTCCGTCCCTAGGTATCCCCTGGGATGGGAAGGCTCCCTGCCAGCAGGTTCTTGCCCACCTGGCCCAGATGACCATCCCCAGGAACTTCACCGCACTCTCCTTCTTCATGGGATTTATGGACTCCCACCGGGAAGTCATCCCTGACTATGAAGCCCTTGTGGGCCCACTGCACAGCCTCCTCAAACAGAAGCCAGACTGGCAATGGGACCAGGAGCATGAAAAGGCCTTCCTGGCCCTGAAGCGAGCCCTGGTGTCTGCCCTCTGCCTGAAGGCCCCTGACTCTCAGCTGCCCTTCTACCTGGAGGTGATGGTGAGCCAAGTGGCCCTGACGGCCACTGTCTATCAGGAGAACTCAGGGAGAAAGCACCTCATTGCCTATACCTCGAAACCCCTCCTCCCCGACGAGGAGAGCGAGGGCCCCCAGTCGGGGGGAGACAGCCCCTACGCTGTGGCCTGGGCCCTCAAACACTTTTCCCGCTGCATTGGAGACATCCCAGTGGTCCTGGACCTTTCCTACGCTGCTCGGACCACTGTGGACCCTGAGGCATGGGAGGACCGCAGGCTTTCCAAAGCATGGTTGATCCGATGGGCCCTCTTGGTACAGGACAAAGGCAAGAGGGCGCTGGAATTGACCCTTCTCCAGGGCCTGCTGGGGAAAAACCGACTGCTGACACCTTCATCCTCCTTGCCTCGTTTCTTCCAGATCCTGCCTCCTTTCTCTGACCTGTCCACTTTTGTCTGCATCCACATGTCGGGCTATTGCTTTTACCGTGAGGATGAGTGGTGTGCTGGCTTTGGTCTCTATGTCCTGTCTCCCACCAGCCCACCTGTCTCCCTTTCCTTCTCTTGTTCGCCTTACACGCCCACCTATGCCCACCTGGCTGCCGTGGCCTGTGGCCTGGAGCGCTTCAGCCAGTCCCACTACCCCGTGGTTTTCCTCACTCACTGCCACTGGGTCTTCAGTGTCCTCTGGGAGCTCCTGCCCCTGTGGAGGGCCCGGGGCTTCCTGTCCTCTGATGGGTCCCCACTACCTCACCCGAGCCTGCTCTCCTACATCATATCCCTCACCTCTGGCCTCCCATCCCTTCCATTTATCTACCGAACCTCCTACCGTGGCTCCCTGTTTGCTGTGACAGTGGACAACCTGGCCAAGGAGGGTGCGCAGGGGGGCGGGGAGTTTTGGAATTTGCCAACGGATGTGCCAGTCCCCATAGTGTCCCCCCATACCATGGGCAAGAGGCCCAACTTGCTGGCATTACAGCTGAGTGACAGCACTCTGGCAGATGTCATTGCCAAACTGCGGGCTGGGCAGAAACTGTCCAACTCCTCACCCTTCAGTTCTGCCTCTAACTCGCTCAGCCTGGATCAGGAGAGCGGCCTGCTTCTGTTCAAGGGAGATAAGAAGCCCAAAGTCTGGGTAGTCCCGAGGCAGCTCCGGAGGGATCTGATTTTCTCTGTGCATGACCTCCCGGTGGGGGCTCACCAGAGGCCTGAGGAGACCTACAAGAAGTTGCGGTTGCTGGGGTGGTGGCCCGGGATGCAGGAGCATGTGAGGAATTATTGCAGGAGCTGCTTGTTCTGCATCCCCCGAAATCTCCTAGGCAATGAGCTGAAGGTTATCGAGTCCCTGTGGCCCCTCAGGTCGACTGCCCCCTGGTCGAACCTGCAGATCGAGGTGGTGGGCCCAGTCACTGTAAGTGAGGAGGGCCACAAGCATGTTCTGATTGTGGCTGACCCCCACACCAGGTGGGTGGAAGCATTCCCGCTGAAACCCTACACGCACATGGCTGTGGCCCAAGTGCTGCTTCAGCATGTATTTGCAAGGTGGGGTGTTCCCGTGAGGCTGGAGGCCACCCAAGGCCCCCAGTTTGCCCGGCATGTTCTGGTGAGCTGTGGGCTGGCCCTGGGAGCCCAGGCTACCTCCCTGAGTAGGGACCTCCAGTTTCCCTGTCTGACGAGCTCAGGGGCCTACTGGGAATTCAAAAGGGCCCTCAAGGAGTTTATCTTCTTGCACGGCAAGAAGTGGGCGGCTTCCCTGCCCTTGCTGCACCTGGCCTTCAGGGCCTCCTCCCCCCAGGCCACACCATTCCAGATCCTGACCGGGGGCCAGGAGAGGCTGATGGGACCCCTGTGGTGGGAGATGAGCAGTGCCAATATAGAAGGGCTCAAGATGGATGTCTTCCTGCTACAGCTGACGGGGGAGCTGCTGGAGCTCCACTGGAGGATGGCCGACAAGGTCAGTGAAAAGGTGGAGAATAGGCGTTTCAAGCGGGAGAGCCAGGAGAAGGAGTGGAACGTGGGCGACCAGGTCCTCTTGCTGTCCCTCCCCAGGAATGGCAGCAGTGCCAAATGGGTGGGTCCCTTCTATATCGGGGACCGGCTGAGCCTGTCTCTCTATAGGGTCTGGGGCTTCCCAACCCCAGAGAAGCTCGGGTGCATCTATCCGAGCAGTCTGATGAAGTCCTTTGCCAAGAGCGGCACCCCCCTGTCCTTCAAGCTCTTGGAGCAGTGAGCTGAAGCAGTGGGGGAGGCCCCACTCCCAGGGTCCTGGGCTGTTGCTGCTAGGCCTCTCCCTACCCTCATCAGTGCTCTCAAAGCCCCCCTGGGGCCCCCTTTGTGCCTTTTGTGGAGAAGTTACTCATAAAGCTTTGCTGAATTGCCTTGAACTGGGGACCAGCGTCCCTATGGAAATGTCCCCAGTGTGGGGTATTGCGAGAATCTGCTGTCAGATATGGGCCTCTGGCAGTTTCCCCTTACTAAGGTAGGCCAGGCTCAATGTCTTTCCCCAAGTATCCCCTTCACCCTGTCACACATGTGCAGGTGTACACACACACACACACACACACACACACGCGCGCGCGCGCGCACACACACAGAATTTGACTCCTGGCTACCTAACCGTAAATCAGTGTGGTTCAGGACCTCAGAACCAGAACCACATTGCACTCTCAAACAGAAACCTCGAATGTAGACTCCTCTCCCCCGACCTTCATTTGGGGACCCTTTGCCCTTATAGTTGTCACAGTTGACACAAATCCACACGGGCTGTGGAGAGGCAGCCTGTTCCCATTCTCATGGCCAGCTTCTCGGCCAGGCTAGGCCTGCCCCCTGTCCAGGAAGGGCTGGCAGTCCTGGGCCCCGAGGCTCGGAGCTGGGGTGGGAGGGCGGGCTTGTCAGCACAGAAAGGCAAGGGGGAGACTGAGTCAGCCTACCTCATTTGACTCCAGCTCATGGAGATAACGCTGACCCCTGCTGTGATGGTATTAACCCCACGGGAATCAAGGATCTTGATGCCAAGTGTGGCATCTCTACCTGAAGAGCTGCTTCAACTAGACCAAGGGGCCCAGGCCTCTCTTACAAGGGGGGAGGGTGTCTGAAATGAGCAGTGTGGCAGACGGTGAGGTGCTGATGTGGCTCTACCTCCCAACCCCACCCCAAAGCCCACAGCCCTCTCCTCCTCCTGCCCCCACTGTGCCCTGCATCCCCAGCCCCCACATAGTGTGTGACTGCTGTGGTTGGATCGCCCCCATCCCCTGGACCTGCTTTCTGTGTAGAGCAAAACCTGGGCTCTGTCTGAGCACTCTGCAATGATTGCTCTTATAGCGAGAGTGAGTTCTCATAGGTGTGTGTGCTCACACTCACCCTCTGACTTGCTGCCACCACTGACAAAATGAACTCCAGGGAAGGCCAGCACCATAGCCCTCTGCCTGGGCCTCTGAGGAGTTTTATTTCTCCAAAGCTGAGCCAGTCTCCTGGCCTAGCTCAGGTTGCCAACACACTTGGCATTGCAAGAGCCGGAGTAGAACCTGCCATAGAGAAGAATTTGCTTGTTTTACAGCCAAAGAAATGCCCAGAGAGGGAAAGTGACTTGCCCCAAGTCACACAATAGTTTGTGGCTAAGCCGGGACCAGGATTAAGCTTCCTGACTCTCAGTTCACCATAGACAGGGGGGGTTCTGGTGTCAGGTTCAAGTCAGAGAATCCCTCAAAATCCTATACGTATATCCCCTCCAACTCCCCATTTCCCATATCTTGTTGACAAACTACTAGTTGTTGCCCCTTAAACCATTTCCAGATGTTAATTCTGTTCAGGAAAGAATGCTTGGATGACATGATAAAGTGAAAGGTGAGCTGTGGGAGTTTTAGCAGATACCCTCTTTCCTTTTCCTCCCCTCCCACTTCTCTTCCCTCTCCCTCTAATGGTATGGCCAACCTCATTTTCCTTCTCCAGGGCTATACCCATTCCTCCTGTTAACCACATTTATGATCCTATATCCTTTTATTTTTCATTTGATTTATCAATAAACAGATCAATATGGAGCCAGTGTCCAGTTCTTTTTTTAAAAAAATATTTTTACTAATTTCAGAGATGAAGGGGAGGGAGAGAGAGATAGAAACATCAATGATGAAAATCAATGACCGGCAGCCTCCTGCACGCCCCCTACTGGGGATCGAGCCCACAACCCAGGCATGTGCCCTTGACTGGAATCAAACTCAGGGCCCTTCAGTCTGCAGGCCAATGCTCTATCCACTGAGCCAAACCGGCTAGGGCCCAGTTCTTTTTTAGCTTCATTTCAATTATGGGAGTGAGTAGGTTGGGGGGCAGCCGTGAGGCATGGTTGCTGCATGTTACCAGGCCAACTTGCAGATTTGAAGACCTGAAGAACACCTTTTCAAGTTCATCTGACGCAAGCTCTTACAGACCAGGCCAGACCAGCACTCAGGTAAGTGATCTGAAGGCCCATGGCTGGTTCATGGCAGGGCCAGGAGGAAACCAAGGCTGTGGTTTGCCAGCTAGTGCTCTTTCCAGTTTTTGTCTTGAAAATGGACAGGATGAGATTTCTTCACTGTTGAACAATTTACACCGAGATTAAAGATTCTTCCTATTTTTTAAAAAAATATATTTTATTGATTTTTTACAGAGAGGAAGGGAGAGAGATAGAGAGTTAGAAACATCAATGAGAGAGAAACATTGATCAGCTACTTCCTGCACACCCCCCACTGGGGATGCGCCCGCAACCAAGGCACATGCCCCTGACCGGAATCGAACCCGGGACCCTTCAGTCCGCTCTACCAACTGAGCCAAACCTACTAGCGCTCTGCACATCTCTTAAATGTTGATTTTCCTCAAGGTTCTGCCCTAGGATTCCTTCTGTCTCAAAAGCAGGATTTTTCCCCATGTACTGACAACTTCTGCATTTTTTTCCCTCTATCCAGAATCATCCTCCTAAATCTCAGACTTATACATTGTATGTCCCACCTTAAAGTCAACCTGCTAAAATTATAGTTTCTCCTCCCTAAATCCGTTCTCCCTCCTTGTTCCCTGTGTCTACAAATGGAACCTCCCTGTTACCTCAACCAAACACCAGCTCTTATCTTCAATTCTTGCCTCTCCCATAACCTCGTATCCAATGACTCACATCCATGGGTTCCACCATTGTTTTCCATCCACCCTGGCTCAAACCACCAATCTCTCAGAGTTCTACAAAAGCTTCCTAACTGGCCCCTTGACCTCCAGTTTTGCCTCCCCTAGTCCATTCTCTGCACTGGGGTTGCCATAATGATCTATCTAAATGAACTTCACTGGCTAAAGCTCTTAAGGGGAACCCCAGGAGGGGACTGGGTTTCAGAATGAAGTCCATATTTCTTAACATTGATATTTTAAGGTCCTTTGTAATCCAGTTGCTGCAATATCCCTGCTTCATTTTTCACATCTACAAGAATGTGAAAACCTATGAAATAACACCATTTATTAGCTGAGGGAAAATGGCACCTCTTGGAAAAAGAGAGTATGGCATTCAAGTCAAAACTTACCAGGGCCAGCCCTGGCCGAGTAGCTCAGTTGGTTAGAGCATCGTCCCAATGCACCAAGGCTGTGGGTTTGATCCCTTGTCAGAGCACATACAAGAGAGTCAACCAGTGAATGCATAGGTTAAGTGGAGCAACAAATTGATCTCTCTCTCTCTCTCTCTCTCTCTCTCTCTCTCTCTCTCCAAAATCAGCAAATAAAGGGAAAAACATTACCAGGGACAAAAGAATCATTTGTAGACACAACTGAGGTAAATCAGGACCTATTTTAGTTTATGTATAACATTAATCTGGGCCAAACTGAAATGGAGAAATCTTCGCTGACACTATATAACATTAATGAATAACGGAAAGACCATAGATTGGGGGTGGGGGGTGGGGGGAGAAGCTCGAGGAACAAAGTTAATATACTTGCATGAGAGTCAGTGAACATAGTGGTTAAGATGGTGAACACAGGAGCCTCTTACTTAGTAGCTGCACAGGACCTTGAGCAAGTCAATTCTCTTCTCTGTGCCTCATTCTCTCCATCTATAAAATGGAGAGAATAATTGTACTAGTATGTACCTCACAGGATTGGAAAGCACTTAGAACAGTGCCTGGCTCAGAGAATGTACTCAATATATGTAAGTTACTGTTACCATATGAATTAATAGACAAGTTAAAACTTGTACATGTCCCAAGGATTCTTGGACAATCTTTTAAAAAACAGGTAGGATTTTCATTTTGTTTTATTATGGCCATTTACCAGTTACAAAGTTTCTTTCTTTTAGGTATGTTCACCTTTACCCATGAACACAGACTTCGTAAATATTTGCTAAGGAAATACGGTATAGCAAGACTGAGGGGACGTCCTAATCTCACCAGATAGTTTATGTATGTTTTAGCGTGGAAATGGGACACAGTGTGGACATTCTTTATAGTTTGCTTATGTCATTGGACTGTCTGCATACAGGTGACTTTGTAATTTCTCTATTAGAGACTTAGGGAGCCCACCTACCAGTGCCACCAGAGAGAAGGGGAAAAGGTGATGGGTAAACAAGAAAAGCAGTGATTAGTGTCCAGTGCCCAGTGTGCTCAGCTGTGAACAAATTTTTAAAATTTACTCCTTTAAAAATAGGAAGATTCGCCGAAACCGGTTTGGCTCAGTGGATAGAGCGTCGGCCTGCGGACTGAAGGGTCCCAGGTTCAATTCCGGCCCAGGGCACATGCCCGGGTTGTGGGCTTGATCCCCAGTAGGGGGCATGCAGGGGGCAGCCAATCAATGATTCTCTCTCATCATTGATGTTTCTCTCTCTCTCCCTCTCTCTTTCTCTCTGAAATCAATAAAGAAATATATATATATATTTTTTTTAAAAAGAGATGTGCAGAGGTAGAGGAGCCTGAAACAAACAAACAAACAAACAAACAAACAAACAAAAAACTGGGCATGTGGGTTTTTGGCAAAGAGGTGGAGGGAAAGCCTGGAGAGTACAGTCAGGGATCAGGTCAGAGAGTGCTTCTAGGAGGGTGTGGTCAACAGGGTCAAATGTTAGGGAGAGCCCCAGTAACAGAAGGACTAGGAAGTGTCCACAGGGAAGTAGTGAGTGAGTAGCTCAGCGCAATTTAGGTGGAGCTATGGAGGCCATAGCTGATATAGAGGCAAGCAACTGGTGAGCATAGATATTTGGCTCTAAAGAGGAGGAGAATTATGCCAATCAATTCTGGGGGCATATAGAGCCGAGAATAACTAAACATCTACAGCCATTTCCACACCCATTGTTTTCTCTTTTAGGCTGAAGAGACTTGAGTCTATTTAACTGAAGGGGAGAAATAAGTAGAGAGGGAGAAGTTGAACATATAGGAGAGGTGAGAGGAAAGGAAGAGAGTATGTTTGGAAGAAATGGCATCCATGGCTGGAGGATGAAGATAGCTGTATTGATAAGAGAATCGACACATATTCTACTGAACCAGCTAGGAGAAAGCCAAGATGAGGAGGCCGGTGAGTTTCTCAATGTCGTGGTGGAGGGGTTCCTGCCTGGAGTTTCTGCTTTTTTTCACTGTAAAAGGTGAGGCCATCTGCTGCTGACAGTGGGGGCAAAGTTGGGTGGTGGGTAAGGGATTTAAGGAGAAAACAGAAGGCTTTAACTGGATTCTGGGGAGGGGGAGGGAAGAGACTGGCAAAGGGAACCACAGAAGAATTGCTTGGCGGATTGAGGACGGGGTGGCTGGAGACCATGGGCTTAGATCCACAGTGAATCCTATAGGATTCACAATGAATCCTATAGGACTTTTCTCTGTGGTAAGCAGCTGCCAGGGTGTGGGTGTAGGGAAAGCAGGGCAGTTGGATCCTATTTTTAGAATATTTAAAGTCTGAGGAGCTTTTTGTACCTGGAGGGGAACACTAACCACCATCTGTGCTTTATTTATTGCTTAATCTATTTACTTCATTTAAGCAAAAATTGTCTAAACATTTAAACATGATTTATATAACCAGCAAATCAAAGTCAACACATTTTACAAATCAAATTATTTAAACATTGATTGTAAACTTAAATCCTCCTCCATATTTTGATAGAATCACCAGTATAGTATGCCAGCTTCTCTAAAAGCATCACACATTTTGGTAAAGCACACAAATCCTACACAGTTTACAAAGTTTATCATACCGACCTTTAGTCCCTTTATAGAAATTGGTTTGCAGACCCAAGAGATGGATATTATCTCAGCTGAGACCAAAGTTTGAATGTAGATATCCCAAAGAATATTATATATAAAGAAAATTGCAAAACTGTCTTTCTCCAGCATTTGAGATCTTGCTTTCCAGCATGTCGTCAATTTGACTCACATAAACTCTTATGAAAATTTAAAAAAAATTGATGAAGTCTTGATTGGGGCCTGGGAACTGGTTTAACCTTTTAAGATGATTAAAACCTGAGCTTATCTTGTTTATCACAGGACCCTTTCAAGCCTACACCTTTTCCATGTATTTGGTGTATTGTAACTAGATGCCTTTTCTTTAAATGATGTCAACAGATGTCCATGCCCACATCTCTGGAACCTCTGAATATGTTCTATTTCATGGCAAAAGGAACTTGTAATATGTAGTTCAGGTTATGAACCTTAAAAGATTATCTGGGTGGGGCCAATCTAATTACACGAGTCCTTAAAATCAGAGAACTTTCTCCACTGAAGTCAGACATGTGGCAGAAGTGTAGGTCAGAGAGATTAAAATGTGAGAAGGACTTGGCCTGACATTGTTGGCTCAAAGGTGGAGGGGGCCAGAGCCCCAGTCCTACAACCATGTTGGGAAGGAAAAATTATCCTTTACCTTAATGTATCCTTCACCTTAATGGTGACTACACTAATAATCAAATTAACGAGACAGATTAGCAGGAGAAAACAAATGAACTTTAATTACATGCATACCTCCTGTATACATGGGAGAGACCAAGGAACACTGAGTTAATTCACCAAAACGGCGGAGGCCATCCCTTGTAATACCATCATCAGCCAAAGACAAAGATGTTGGCCATGGAGAGTCAGTTACGGGAGGTCGCCAGAAAGAGCACAGTGAACAAGAATAAGGTTGTCATGCAGATTTCAGTCCAGGGCCTTCTCCATTGAGCGTGAAGGTAGGCCTGGTACTGTGAGACAAAATTCTTAAAGACCAGGGATGTCCCTTACACTTATTTATGCATTCATTGGTTGATTCTTATATGTGCCCTGACTGGGGATAGAACCCTGTAAACTCGTTATATCAGAACAATACTCTAACCAACTGAGCTACTTGGCCAACTAGGGCTCTTGAGTCTTTTTATAATAAGCAGGTGATCTAGTAAGTAAGTAACGTGTTTCTCTAGCAAATTAATTGGAGGTCACTGGTGACAAGAGAAAAAATTCTGGGATGTTATAAGTTAAAACTCCAGCACCAGAGAGTGAAAGAGACCCAACAGTTAGCCTGTTAATTGCTGTATGACAAAAGACGGCTCACATTCTTGGGTATCTGTTGGAATTTAGGATTAATTTCCAGGTGGCTCTGTGATCATCCAAGAGAGAATTAATTTCGGGGTGCCATTGAAGCCCGCTTCTTATTGCACATGAACTTTGTGGACTCTGTTACGCCCATCCCAGAACTAGCCCCACCCCACCTTCCTCCATTCCCTTTATCTATAGCTAAAGTAAATTCTTTCAGAATGGCTTACAGCTTTCGCCTCCATTTTTGATGTATAAAAACACTGGCAAAACTCCTGGACATCAGATATGTTATCTTTTCTACCTACCCATGCAGTGTTTTATTTTTTATAATGTTTTTTTCTTTATTGATTAAGGTATTACATATGTGTCCTTATTGCCCCATTGCCCCCACCCCCACCTCCACTCATGCCCTCACCCCCCTGTTGTCTGTGTTCATTGGTTAGGCTTATATGCATGCATACAAGTCCTGACCCCATGCAGTGGTTTAGACTCCATGCCCCACAACCAGTCTTCTTTTTTTTTTTTTGCTAGAAATGGCCTAATAAACCCCTTCTTTTAAAAAACTCAGCTGTGAAAGTTAGAAGTTTTTTTTAAAGATTTTTTATTGATTTTTAGAGAGAGAGGAAGGGAGAGGGAGAGAAACATTGATGTGAGAAGGAAACATTGATGGGTTGACTGCTTCCTACACGTCCCCTACCGGGGATCGAACCTAAAACCTGAGCCCAAAACTGGGGTATGTGCCCTGTCTGGGAATCGAACCAGCCACCTTTCACGGGGATGATGCCTAACCAACTGAGCCGCACCGGCCAGGGTGGAAGTTAAAAGTTTTTTGTTTAACCCTGGAACCTAGTCAGTCAATCAGAGGCACAGGTAACAACCTGGAAGTTGTCAAGGAAGGAGCAATTGGAATTTCCAATCTATAGCAGTTGGTTAGAAGTACAGTTAACAGTCTGTCTGGGCTTTCAGCCGGGGTCTGAAGTAAAGAGTGGTGGTGGTGTAGGACTGAATCCTTAACCTGTGGAATCTGATGCAAAATCTAGGTAGGTAGGTTCAGAATCATGTTGCATTGAACCCAATTCTTGGATATCCTGCTGGTGTCTGAGAATTGCTTGGTGTTTTGTGGGAAACACCCCCCCCCACACACACACACACATTGGAATTGGATCCAGGAACCCAAAAGAACTGTCATTCATCCCTGGACTCTATCTGCAGATTCTTCTATGTGAGACAGAAATAATCTACTTTGCTTAAGCCATTTTTATTTTGGGCTTCAATGTTGCTGTAATATCATTATAATTAGTATGGTAATGCAGAGGCTCCCTTTCCTGAGAGATAAAGGATCAAGTTTGAGCAGTGAGCAGTTATCTTTTGGACACTTGACTAATTCATTATCTTGTAACACACCATTGGACTTTCTTTCTTTCTAGTTGTAATATATGACCAGATGGTGCCAATCAGTCTCTTTCATTCTTGGTACAGTTCCAATCTTTTTCTGGAATTACTCACAGCTCTCTATACACACCCCTCCCTTATACAGATAAAGAAAAGTAAATGTACCTTATGAATAGTTAAAATACATAATACATTTATACTCTTCTACTTATCAAAACAAACTAAAAATATCCTATTATATTCATTCTTCACTTCATAGTGACTTTTTCCTTTAGGAATATCACTATGGAAAGTCATAAATTTAAAAAATTCACCTTGTTCTAATTAACTATGTTATTTTTCTTTTGATTATCAAATTGTCACAGAATGCCAGGTGTTTTTAAAAACTGGTTCCTTTACCTTCTCAGCTTTATTCTATACATCCTTGCTTATTGTCTTCAACAACATGTTCCAGGCCTATAGTTATCTGAGATAAGGAGCTATTCTCCAAGTAACCCTGGGTCCTTTTAAAGGTGAGTAATATTTGAAGCAAAGATCCAGGTGCTAAGAATGCATATCAGATTTTTTCCTAATGTTGTTTCTATGCTATCTTAGTAATAAAATTGGAAAAAATTATGTCTTTTGAAAACCACACATTCACATTGGTATTTCCTATTTAACTCAAGCATTACTAAATCTTTTTTTGACTCTAACATACAGTTTTCCTTTTTAAAAAAATAATATGTTTTTTATTGATTTGAGAGAGAGAGGAAGGGAGAGGATGAAAGAGAGAGAGGGAAACATTGATGAGAGAGAAACATCAATTGGCTGTCTCTTGCAAGCCCCCCACCAGGGATCAAGCCCGCAACTCTGGCATGTGCCATGACTGGGAATAGAACAGGTAACTTTTTGGAGCATGGGCTGATGCTCAACCAACTGAGCCACGCTGGCCAGGGCATAGTTTTATACTTATTTTCTCTACAACATACCTGCTTGTATCCTGGAGTCTCTAATCCAAACTGTAATGGCATCTTTTATCTTTAGTGATCTTATACTGTCTCATCAACTATCATTCTCTATTACTTTATTGATAGAGTCATCCATGCTGGACCAATTGGACAGCCAGGTAAGAGAGTGTATAATAATGGCAGGAGAGTGGTTGAAGGGATGCATCATTGAAACCAAGGAAATAGGAAGTTTAAAAGGAGGCTAAGATAGCACAGGTCAGGGGAAAGAAGAGAGGTTGTGGGATATTCCACAACAGGTTTGGTGAAGGTATTTGATAGAGCTGGGAGGAAGGAGGTGGTGGCTAGAACATGAAGTGATTGAACTTTAGACTACAAAGGTTGAGCACTTTTAAAAGATTGCTATGGTCATTGATGTGTTCCATGCCTGGAGATCTACACTTGTCCACAGGTGACCTTCTACCCCCACCAACAGCTGCCCAAGGAAGCACTGTATACCTGCTCTCAGCCAGAGCAAACACACACACACACACACACACACACACACACCCATGACTCAGGTGGGGAGGTGAGGGCCAGAGTCCATTTGGGACCTGTACAGATGAACACCCAGGTTCACTGCCTGCTGGCTGCCCCAGTGTGCATGAAAAATGTGTACCTTGTTCAGGCTGGTCACATGTCCCATTCCTGTCCTACCAGCCATAGGCTCTGGGCTCCTCAGTGGCCCTCCCCACAATTATACTGGTGGCTGAGCCTCCTGCCCTCGTCCATATGGTGCTGGCTCAGCTCCTGGCTGTTGGCAGAAATCCGTGATGCTGGCACTCCTCACAGGAAGGAGCCTGTAGGGTATGATGAGGCCGGTCCATCTGGGCCCTTGTGGGGGCCTGTCAGGTTCACCTGTGCCACCTGTTTCCAAGTAGCACTGAGCTAGAGGCTGGGGGTGGGGTGGGGGAAGGAGCAGCAAAGTCTGCAAAGTATCGCAGGACTTTTTACCTGCCAAATCCTGCACTGATCCTAAGGTCGCAGACAGAGAGATGCAGGGAGAGGTTGTGAGGGCATGTGAGAAGGGGGAGGGAGGTTAGAGGGGCCCGTCCCTAGATATAGCTCTACTCATCACCTTGGGTGTTTGGCACAAGGTCCCATGCAAGAAGGTGGAATTCAGGCAGCCAGAGGGAGCCTTTCTCCTGCCCCAAAGATGTTGCTTCTGGGGCAGGGGAGGGCAGAGGACAGAGGTCAGGGGCTGGATTCCCATTCTGGAGAGGCTTGAGCCCTCAGAGTGGGAAGATGAGGAAGCCAGAGAAGCTTGAATATTTCCAGCCACCCAGCAGGTTCCCCCGACGAAGGCGCAGAGACACCCGGTCCCCGGGGTCCAGGGGCAGTAGCACAGAGCTGGTGGCTGCCTCCCGGGTCACATCAGGGTCATTGGCAAAGGCTGAGATGACAGGCCATGTGTTCAGCATCAGGCTCACCTGGGAAGGGAGACCAGTTAGCGTCTCTACCCAGCCCTTGTCCTAGGACCCCACTTTTCTGAGGGCTACTCCTCTTCTCCCAGCCCTAGAGGGACACTCTGGAACCTGGGAATCTGAGGCTCAGTGCAATCTCCTGGGAGAGCTGAGGGGTAGCCAGTGTAACACTCTGAAGATCCCCCACTCTCTGGGAGGCAGGTCCTTTCTTCCCTTGCTCCTGGCCCCCCAGGACACCGGCCAATGGGGGTCTGCCCAGGAGTCAGCTGGGCTCCACTTATTCCTCCCCCCCACCCGAGTCTGGACAATGACAGGGCCCAATGTTCAGGTCACCTGGACGGTTTGGCGGTTGTACACCTTCACCACGTGGAACCTGAAGCTGTAGACACCTCGGACAGGGGCCACGAAGGAACCTGAGGCGCGATCAAAGCCACCGCCCTCATTCACCAAGACCTGGGGGAAGCAGACCCTGCTGAGTGGGCTGGGGAACGCCTGGGGCTCAGGGAAACCACTGGGTTGAGGGACGGGGCAGTGAATAAGGAAAATAGGGGGTTGCAAGTAGCTGCCCACAGGAGGAATGCACAGATTCAAAAAAAAAATAGTGAGAAAGATCAAGGAGGTGTAGGGGTAAGAGTGAAGGGAAAGGAGATGGGCAGAGGGGCAGAGAGGCCATTGGCCATAGCAGGGCTGTCTTTTTAGCAGCAGAGTGGGCTTGTATTGATTCCAGGTCCTTGCAGGGCAGGGGGTTACCTGGTCAAAATAGATGGCCCCATTGGTGCCGTTGCCCGTCTCCCCTGCTGGCTCATGGTGGTGGCTTCGAACTGCAGCAAATGCCACTCTTCCGGGCGGCGCTTCTCCCAGAGCTGCTCCTCCAGGCCCCCCTGCAGCAGCCCTGCCGGGCTCACAGACCACCAGGCACTCGCCCTCCAGGAGAACAGGCTCTGACCCTTCCTGGGCCCATCCGGTCCCCAGGGCCAGAAGCGTCAGGGCCAAGGGCAACCAGGAGTTGGGGGCAAGACCTGGTAGCCAGAGTCGCTTTGCTCCCAGCATGGCTGAGTGGCTGTGACCCACAAGTCCTGTCTTCTTGCTACTCCTTTTAGTTTCTACTCTTCCCCCAGACTCTCAACAGCCCTCACCCTACTCCTTAGCCCTCTCTCTGCGTCTCTCTGTCACCTGGTCTCAGCATCCCCCTCTCCATACCACTCCGTGCCCCACAACTCTGTCCTGCCTCTCACTCCTGCTGTCTCTGCAGTTCCCTCCTCCTTGGCAGGGCACAAAATGACAGCAGTTGGGCTCTGGGAGGGAGAGGAGAGATGAAGCAGCCAGACAGGACGGCTACAGCCAGAACCCCAGGCAGCCTCTCCAGAGAGCACTGACGACTGGAACTGGGACGACAGAGAAGTGTGTGAGTGTGTGTGTGTGTGAGTGAGTGTGCATATGTGCAGGAGACGGCTCCTCCGGTCCTTCCTCCTCCTCATTCCTCCCCTCTTCAAAGTCCCTCACAGCACTCTCAGTGGCACCTTTTCCATTGTTAGGAAGGAAAGCCCTTGTCTTTTCCCCACAATTGTTTTGGTGGAAAAGTACTTGGGCCCACAGTGTCACTCGGCCAGTCACTTTTCCTCCTTGGCCTGCCAATAGCTTCACCTGCAGGGCCTGAATTCGTCCCTTTAAAACTCTCTTCACCTCTGACTCTCTATCAGTGGTGCCTCTTACCTGAGAAAACGGAGAACAGCAGGAACAGAGGGATCAGCAGAGACTGGGGGAGACCCAGGGAACTGCGGGCGGGTGGGCGGGGCCGAGGCCGGAGCGGGGCGGGGCCTGGC